GGGGCAGCTTTCCTGCTCAGAATTGTTTTAGTGTTTATTGTGGTCATTTTGTAGGGGAATTGGGCAACTATGATCTTTCATTCCACCATCTTGACTTTGCCCTCTCCCTTTACTCTCAATTCATGAACCTATGATCTTAATCCTAACCCTTATTCCTTTGATCTTTCTATACATTTTTTCCACACACACTTTCAGGTCTCCCCTAGTCTAAATAAATAAACAAAAACTACTTCTCTTAGTCTACTTCCCCTTGTCTAACTTCTTTTCTCTCCTTTGCCATTGGTTTTATGTAAAATAGTCACTCACTCATTCACTCCTGTAATCAGGCCCCATGTCAGATGTCATGATCTTCTAATTATATTAATATTCTCTACTCTCAGCCTCAATCTACGTGCACCATGTTGACCTGGGTAGGATCTCAGGCTCCTGGTCTAGGGCTTTGTGCAGTGGACTCTACTCTTTCTTTGTAGACAGCACCAACAACATTGATGGCCCATCAGTTGGTCCCACACTAACCTACAAGCGGGGAGGGGGAAGTGAGGCATTTCTCTTAGAACCACAGATTTAGAGATGGAAAGGACCACCAAGGTCATCTATGCAATACCCTCATTTGACAGATGAAGAAACTGAGACCTTGACATGCCCAAGTTCACAGAGGCTTCACACAAATTCTGTGTCAGAATTTGAATGCAGGTGGTCCTCTAACTCCAACAGCATTGTGGTCTTTTTTTCTGTACCTTACTCTCTTTACCCTCATTTAGTATATGTACGGTGATGGAGGGGATTAATTTCCGTCCTCAGTTTTACCTTTTATTAAATAGTAGTAAGGACCCTGGACAGTGAGGCCTAGAAACTTGGCCTCTACCAACAACTTACTGACCTTAGGCAAACCCTTTCCCCTTCAAAACCCTTTGCAGGACTACGATCCAATGCCAGACACTTCATTCACTTCCCTCACTTACATAAGGAAAGGATTGAATTGGTGGCCTTTGATGTGCCTTCCAGCTCTGCATATATAATCCTCTGATTCTGCTGGGGACCCCCCGGGGTGAAAACTGTAAGAACTGGGTATGGAGCTGGCAGAGACCCCTTTAAAAAGCTTTCCCTACCCCTAAGTAGCTTCTGGGGTCCCAGACTTCCCTGCAGTTCTAAATCATCCAACTTGGTAGGATGTGCCCACCCAAACTCCTGTCATTTGGCTTCCATTCCTAGCACTCTAATCCTTAGATTCTAAAATCCCATGCTAGTTCCCTCACCCCGAGGCCATCCTCTCAATCACCAGAGCCTTTTTTCAGTCCTGGAGCAGGTTTATAGATGCCCTTCATCCAGCTAGGAGCCCGGCAGTAGCTTTTCTGAACCTAAGTGTAGTGGTTCACTTTTCTTTGAAATGCCTTCTGCTTTGTTTTGATTCATCACCCTGGTCTGTTAACCAGTATGTCATCTGCAGATCTGATACCTTTATGCAGGTCACTCGTTGATGCCAAATAACCCCAAGGGTGCTGCTGAGGTCAATGCAGCCTTTACCCCTTCCTCTCTCACTATCACACAGCCCATTAGTGGTTGCTATTTCAAGGAAAACCTGTGCTATGAAAATACAATTTGAGGAAAACAAGGCATTAGATTGTGAAGGGTCTTCATCTTTTTGTGTGCTCAGAGGCCAGAGCACTAGGAGGATATGGTGCTTTGGATCCATTTGGCAGTGTCTTGGGAAGCTTATGGAGACTTTCTTAGGATAATTTTGTACATGCATAAGTAACAGATTATAAAGGAAACCAATTATATTGATAGTTATCAAAATATTTAAGGAAAAGTTCACGGGGCAAAGAACCACTAGTCTGGGCAGTGATGCCTTGCTTTACAAATATTCTCCGCTTTAAAGAGGGGTAGTCTTAACTGTTAGACCATTTGTGCCGAAGTGGACTGAGTTTAACTCTGTCCTCAGACACGGGTGTGATCCCAGACACATCAGTAACCTGGCCGAGTAATGTCTTCTGACATTAAAATGGAGAACCTAGTGAACAAAATACTCAGTAATTCTTCTCTTTATCTTGTAGATCTGATCTGTATCTACTCCCCCACTCTGAGAGCACCACCATTCTAGATGATAAAATGGAGGGAGGTCCAGATCACAGAAGGATGTTGTCCAACATTGCAGCTAAGTCTCAGCTAAGCTGGGGCTAGACTTCAGACCCAATGACTCTTTGGGCTAGGGCTCGTGGCACTTTGCTCCCTAGCGGTTCATATGTCGTCGTCCCCTCCCCTCCACCCCACCTTGTGTCCCATTTCATGGAAGAGCAGGATGGAACACTTCCAGTTCCTTTAAGTAGCTGTCTCCATTCTTCCAGCCAGGCTGGTGCTTCTCTAGGAGGTAGTAGACATTTACAACAAGCTTTTGCCAAATAGGAGCTGGGCCAAGCATGGAGCATCCACATCTGGGGTTGAAGAAGCACATGTGAAAAGCAGCTTGGCCTTGGCCCCAGAACCGTGAATCTCCCCTCTGATTTGTTTCATCTGAAAAAGGCTAACAGCTGCTAAACCCAACATATACAAAGCATTTTGAAAAACCCTAAAGCTCTGGAGGAACTCAGGTGGGGAAAAGGCCCCAGATGGGGTAGGGAGAGACCTGACAAAACCGCCAAATAGAAGTCATTTCTCTCTCTCTTTTTTTTTTGGTGGGGGGCAGGGTTACTACTCTGATATAATAAGGAATGTCAAAGACAGTTCACCTGTTAAATGCCTGGTTGAAATCCACTGTCACCTTTGTTCTCATGGACATCACGGGCTGGTTACCAAGTTTGAATGAGGGGTATGTCTGTATGCTGGAGGTCTCAGCACGTTAGTCCTGTTCTTTACTGGACATTGAGAGATGAGAGTAGGGAAAATTTTGTCTCTGTGGCTCTAGAAAGGCCAGCACTGAGGGAGAAGGGTTCCTCTCAACCATTCCTCTGGTTCCAGAAGGGCAACAGCCCTGGATCTGAATAGTAAGCTTCTAAAGGAAACTATGGGAAGTGATCTTCTGCCCAGATGTGCCTCCCCAGGTTACTTTGGGGACAACCTCAAGTTGGAATGGACCAGAGTAGGAGATTGTCTCTCCCGTCCCTATCCCTCCTGCTCAGAGTGCAAAGTTGTTAGGTAACTGTGCCTTTTACCCAGTAGACACATTAGCTTAATTGAACTGGATGGAATTGACCAGGCAGAAGGGAGAAAGGCTCCCTTGGAGCTAGGGCCCCAAGGACACACAATGTGCATTGTCCCTGCATCTGACCAAAATGTTCAACATGGAAGATCTGCTCTCCCACCACAAAGCCATGGCTTTCTACCCTTCCTACTCTTTACCCTGTCATCTTTTGTCCTCTGACCCCTCAGCCCTTCCTCAGGTGTCTCTGTCCCTGGCTTCACCTACTTTTGTGTTCTGTGTAAAACTATCACTCAGAGTTCCTTACTGGTCAATTTCCCTGTGCCTGACAAGCTCCTTACTTAGCAGTGACCACCTCCCCAACATCTGATTTCTTCATTTCTACTCCAGGGCCACAAGGGAGAAAGTCATTAGAATGGGCTTACTGCATCTCTTACATATTGGGCATAGAAGGCTATTTGTCACTTGTGCTGTGTATGTGTGTGTGTGTTGGGGGGGGGAGAGGAAAAATGGGAGGAATTAGATCAAGTGGTCCTGCAGAAAGGGAGGGGCAACAGAGAGCTCTGAGGGCAAAGGGGCTTCTGAGGTTCTGTTTCAACTCCCTCAATTTGACAAAGAGACTAGGTCCAAGCTGTATTGCCGAGCCAGGATTCAAACCCAGCTCCTCTCATTACAAATACCACATTCTTTTCACTGCACAATACTTAGCAACTCTTAATCTTATTTCTCCATGACACCTATTCCACATTTTTTTCTCTTTCAAACACTATATTGAGAACAAATGACCCAGACTGTTTCCTGAAGATTGAAGCCATCCAGAATGAAACATGCCATGTCTGCTCCTTCCTTACTTCTCTTTTCCTACTCTCTGCTACTATTTCTTCCTCTCCCTGCACTCCTCATTATTCCAGGAGCCTTGATGCTGGCACCCATCCCCTCTCCATGCATCTGCTGGGCTGTGTCCCCCTCTGAACGTTGTTAGCCTGGTGGTTAGTCACCCTGCAGCTGGGTGCTCCACACCACTGGGCTCTGCCTGTTTAATCTCTCATTAGATCAGAGCATCTGGAGAACAGGGATTGTCTCAATTCCTATGTCCCTAGAAGCTTAGCATGGTGCTTGGCACGTAAGATGATGCTTTTTCTTTCATTCACTCTCTCCTTCAACCCTGGCTCTTTCTAGTGGGGAAATAAGGGCTTCTACTTCCAAAAAGCCTTTCCTTGAGCCAGCCCATCCAGCTCCTATCAGCTGTCCTGCCTTTCTAACCTTTTTAAGAGAGTTATGTGCACATGGCATCTCCATTCTCGACTCAAGTCCTTGCTTTCTGGCCCTAGAGCCTGAGATGAGGGGGGAACCTGCCAAGCCCTGCATGGCCAATCCCCACTGCAAAAAGCAAGATAGCTTTGGATTGTCTTCTTTCAAGCCCCAAGGACTTGTGACTGGGAGTAAGTCTTCCTTCTATGGGCTCTCTGTTAGCTTTTGTCAGTCCTGTCCCTCACACAGGGTGATGAGATCCACAGGAGGTAAACTACTAGGAGGCAGCTAGCCTCCACAGCCGGAGGATCCATTCACTGGGACCCAAGGCATTCCCACACTTGAACGGAGTGGGCTGCCCATCTCACTCCAGGGTGGGAATGGTAAATGGTCCATTCTCAAAGATGGTGCCACGAATCCTAAATAGCCAATGGAGAGAAGCCAGGAGGGGCTTCATGTATATCTGTTAGCAATCCCCTCTTCTGCATGAGAAAGGTGGGATGCTTAGGTTTTCTGTAGCGTAAAGCCCAAGATGAAGCTAAGGCAGCTTTGGGCTTCTGCTCTCTCAACGCACAGGATGGACACAGAAGCAGTCACACCATGCACACAGGGAGACTGGTAATTCTCTGTATTCATAAAGCTGCAGTCTTGAAGGGAAACAAAGGCCACCTTCAGCGGCTGCTATTGGAATGTAACTGGCTTTGGGAGCTCAAGCAGGTGGAAGCATGTCTGGTAGCTGCTGAATAGCAGATCCAATGCAGCTGTAAACAGGGCTGGCTGAGGAGGTGGTGGCTGGGTTCCCCAGGCTGCTGGGAGTAGAGAGGGCCAAGGAATCTCTCAGTGGGGCCCTCCCTCTCCCCCAGGGCCGGGCTCCTGGTCCCATGGTCCCGTGGTTCCAAGAGTTGGTAGGTGAGTAGAACATAAACAGGGGATGGGCAGAGAGAGGACAGACAGACCCGAAGCGAGGCCAATGTGCTGAGACGATGAGCATGGAGACTGGGGATGGGGAACAAGGGGGAGGCAGCTAGCAGACTGCCAGGCTGCCTCAGAGCTTGTGGGGGTTTACCCACTTGTAGGTGCCCTCGTACTGGAAACCCACTCTCTTCATCAGTTCATCCGCTTCGGGAGGGCCTCGGCTGTTAAACAAACACAAGGGCAAAATGGGACTGTGCCCTCAGCTGTGAGGAGCGTTCTGGACACTCCTGGAAACACCCATCTCACCTGCCATAGACATAGGCAATGGGCTGGGTTTTCTCCCTCTCGATGTGGTGCAGCAGGGGTGTAAAGATCCTCCAGGCTTCCCGAAGCTCGTCACTGGAGGGAGAGAGAGAGTGGAGGCACCTAGGTGGGCCTCATCATGTGGGGTGCAAAGCCGGATAAGCTCTAGAAGGGGACTCAGGAAACTTGGGCACCTAAGAGGCAGCAGCTGCTGAAACTCCCCATAAGGCCAGGGATCATGGAGGGCAAGAGAAAGAAATGGCAGTGAGGAGCAGGAGAGGGGGAGGAAGGCCAGGGGAGGAGAGGGGCAAGCTGTGGACATTTTTACAAAGTAGAAAACTGAGGCCCAGAGAGACAAAGGGTTCACAAGATCAAGGTCACACAGTGGGTTAGTGATGGCAGAACCATTAGGAGAATTCAGGTCTCCTACTCCTCTGGGGCATGGAGGAGATGGCAGAGAGAAGGGAGAAAGAAGAGACAGAGGCAAGAGAAAAGTCTTTCTGTAGTCTCCTCCAATCCCCAGGCCTTGCTAGTGTAGAAACTGGCCCTCTGCTACCCTCCAAGCCAAAACACGCCAAACAACCCCTGCCAACCTTCAGATTTGAGGGAGAAGGGAGGGATGCTTGTTAAGCAGCAGCTTGGCCAAATCTCTCTAGCTGGGAAACAAAGCCCCTGAGACCTGGGGTAGGTCCTGCCATTCCATGGGAGGGGGAATTAGGCAAGGTCATCTTTCTCTCGCTCTTCCCTCACTAGGCCTTAAGGCTTTCCAGGATGAGGCTACCGAAGGATCATGGGATTCTAGAGGCCATCTAAGAGGAGGACCCAGATCCAGAGCAGGCAAGTGACTTGTTCCAGGTCCCACAGGTGGGATTTGAATCCAAATCCTTCAGTCCCAAATCCAGCCACTTTCCTTTCTGCCCTGGAGGAGAATAGGGAGCAGCAGTGGTCCAGGCCCCCACCGCTTCAAGGCATCCCTCACCTGCGCACAAAGTGCATCTGGTTCCCACAGAAGACGTCCAGGATAAGGCGCTCATAAGCATCGGGCAGCTTCACATCCTGCAAGGCCAGGAGGGGTAAAGAAGATGAAAGAAGGTACTACAATGGAGAGGCCAGGCAGGGAGAAGCCAAGCCTGCTTTGGTTCCCTTGCTCCCCCCATTCCTTCCATTCCTTTATCCATTTTTTTCATTCATTCCACACACATTTATTACTTAAGTACTGTGGGGGTGAGGTACCAAGCTAGTCCACACAAGGACTGCCGAGTCTCAGGCAAGTTGCCTTTCCTCCTTGCCTCCTTCCTCCTATCTTCGTCCCTCCCTCTCTGGCCCTCAGCATCACTGCCTGTGTGCCCTGGGTTCCTCCCAACCTATGTGACATTGGTTCTGGCTTCCCTGTCTGCCCTGCCTGAGCTAGAGCTTTTTGGTCAGGCTCTGTGAATGCTGCTCCCCATCCTCCACTTTTGCGCCTCAATTAGCTTCTGACTTTCTGCCATGTCTCCCTTGCAATCCTTTCCCCCTGGGTAACTCCTACCATCTGGCTTGACTTCCTTCCTCTGCTTTAGTTTCTGGATGATGCTGGAGTAAGCTCTGGAATCATGCTGTTGGGAAGCCCTGCCACATTTTGGCAGCTAATCTCAGCTAGGCTCAGCTCTTGCAGCTGCCTGGCCATCCTTGTGCTCTGCTTGTTGGCTGACTTTCATTGTCACCCCCTCCCCCTCAGCTGGCCCAAGAACATCTCCTTCTTTCCAATCTTTGCCTTTCCCTTCCTCCACAGTTCTACTAAGCGCACCAATAGCCCAGGCTGGTAACCTCAGAGTAAAAATTGGGAAAATCAAATGGATTCTATCTTGTAGCACTGCCAACATTTTTGTAACTGCCACAGTCATGTTTCATTTGTCTGAGTTTAGTTTGGAAATTCAGCTTCCTTAGATATTACTCATCGTCTCTGACCCAAGTTCAAAATTTCAGTTCTCCTGCTAATCACTGTTCTATTCTCATGTCAAGGAAATCTGTTGTCCTTGACAGATGAAGATGGATGCCAGGCAGTTTGGTCCACTACTTCTAAATTGTTCTTGCAGGTAGACTCCAATGATGAATATTTCTTAGTGACAGGATGGAAGGAGGGGTTGTTGCTAGCCCCTCATTACCAATTTCCAGCCAATAATATTGTTCCTCATGCCTATGATGCTACAAGCTTTGGGACCAATTATATTGTTTTCCTATCTAGTTTTTGGATGCTCTTCCTTTTGTCTGTAAAAATGATCTGTCTGCCCTCATTCTTGGTCTTTTGGCTTCTTGCTGAGGAGCTAAAGACTGCTTTTATTGGTAACTGCTAGCCTTACCAATATGTTGAAAGTGCTTAGAACTTTGTGCCTCAGTTTACTTTAATTCTGACTGTAACAATAGCCATACCTGACTCCTCTCTCTCTTGCTACCAAGCTGCCATGTCCTATTTGCTGTTCCTTCTCCTGCTGTCTCTGATATCTCCTCTACTGTTATTTGTCCTTTGTTTTCAAAGAAGGACCAATGACATCACATTGGGTGATGTCTTGATTTGTGTGTGAATTGGATTTAAGAGAGGCAGTGCTGCACAAAGTCATTGTCCTCACTCTCTTTTCTAGAGTCATTGAAGTCCAGTGGCAAGACAAAGGTCAAGATCACTGGTGATAGCTCAGGATGCAGTAGATGCCCTTGGTGTCTTAGATATCTAACCAAGCTCTAAGCACTCCACAGTGCCTGCTTTAGCCACCTTCATGGCCTATTGGAACAAACTGTTCTCATCCACTCATTCTTCTAGGGGAAGTCATTACATGCTTGGGGTAGAAGCCCTCTAACTCATTGACAGGTTTGAGGCCCATCAGTTACCCTCAACCTGGTTTACCCATCTGCTGAGATAGTTTTGTATGGGTGTGGCCACTGCACGTGCTACAGCTTCTTGGAGCCACAGGTGAGGGTTGGGTGCCAGGTGGATACTGAAAGTGGATGAGCAGCCCTGAAAAGGGCTTCACACCAGGGGTACTAGTCCTCCTGAACACCCTATGCCCCACTCTCCTCTATATTCACACCATGACCACCTTAGTTCAGTTCCATCAAGAGCCTCCTAACTGTTCATCCCGCCATGCTCCATGCTGAAGACCAAGTCAACTCCCTTACATACCATTAGGGTCCCCTCACTCCTCTTAAAAAACAAACAAAACGTGTCAGTGTCTACTGAGTGCCCAACCTCTCAACTCTGGCACTCAAGGACTTTCCCAATCTGGTGATAGCCTACTTTTAGCTTCATCTCACTATTCCCCACTAAAAACCAAACTGGAACACTGCTGAAATACCTTTTCTTCAAGGTTCAATTCAGAGGCTCTATCATCTTCTCCCTCCTTAAACATCTAAGAGCACTTGGCCTAGCCCTCTCCTTGGCACTTGTATCACTCTCCCTCATCCCAGAGTCATCCTCATCCTTGTCACACATTTGGCCCACAGTGGTTGCTAGGCCAATGCTTGGGTTCCTGGCCAGCTCCCCCCTACACCTGGCCCCAAGCTGGGCAGCTCAGGATCAGCTCACTTTATATCTGTTGCCATAGGTCAGGTCCAGCTCAGACTCTTCGGGGTTGAAGAACATTCCTGGCTTCTTGGTCATCATCTTGGTGTAGACAGCCTCATTGGGCTGCACGCGGATCACCAGCTCATTTCGTTTACACTGGCGCTGGAAGATGTCACCAGCCACATCCTGGAACTGTAGCCGCACCTCTGCTTTGCGTTCATTCAGGGCCTTTCCGCAGCGGAGGATAAATGGGACTCCTGGGCCAGAGAGCAGAGACAGAGAAAAGGAGGATATTGAATCTGGCAGGATCAACTGCTTTTCAGAGTGGTTTCCACCGTCACACTGATCGTCAGCTGTTCTCTATGGCCTTCCCAGAGTTGTTGGCAGGTCTGGCGAGCTGGGCCATCTCCTAGGTAGGAGGGTCAGGACCCTCTGTATTCTCATTGCCTAGCACAACAGGCATGTGATGAAGTTCAACAAACATTAATTAAATGCCTACTGCATGCTAGGTGCTGGGTATGCAAATATAAAAAATGAACCAGTCCCTAGCCTCAGGGAGCTTCCATTCAACTGGGTGTTAGTATCTTGAATGATCATCTAATTCAACCTCCTTAAGTGAGAGAGAAGGGACCCACAGCTAAGGAGCAGCATGTTTGGGGATCTCTCCATCACTGCCCTCTAGGCAGGGACAGGTTTGGTTTTCTGGGGAGGGAAAGGGCAAATTCATCAGAATATCATGCAGATGACTTCACATCTATAATCCATATCAAACTGCTTGCCTTCTGGAGTGGGGAGAGAATTTGGAACTCAAATTTTAAAAAATGATTAATTTTTTTTATGTGGAATTGGAACATGTCTGCTTGAAAGATATTAAGAAGTGCTGATTCACTTTGTCACATGGGCCAACGACTGAAAGGGGAATAGTTTAAGGAAAGGGCCCCTGGGCGGGGCTGAGAGAGGAACAGGAAGTAGGTTAGGCTATGAGGCCATCTGTGGCCAAAGCTTAGTTACATAAGGAGAGAAAATCTGCATTCTGTTTCTATCTTTAAAATGACATGCTCTTCAAGTTTCTCTGACATAGGCCTAATTTCTCAAATATATAGAGAACTAAGTCAAATTTATAAAAATAGGAGCCATTCCCCAATTGCTAAATGATCAAGAGATATGAACAGTTTTTAAATGAAGTGATCAAAGCTATCTATAGCCATATGAGAAGGTGCTCTAAATTGCTATTGATTGGAGAAATGCAAATTGAAACAATTCTGAGGTACTACCTCATACCTATTTGATTGGTTAATAGGATAAAAAAAGAGAATGACAAATGTTGGAGGGGATGTGGGAAAAATGATACATTAATAAACTGTTGGTGGAGGTGTGAACTGTTTCAATTATTCTTTACAGCAATTTGGAACTATGCCCAAAGAGCTATAAAACTGTGCATACTCTTTGACCTAGCAATACCACTACAAGGTCTATATCCCAAGAGATCAAAAAAAAAGGAAAAGGACCTATTTGTACAAAAATATTTATAGCAGCTCTTTTCTGGGGGTAAAGAATTAGAAGTTGAGGGAATGCCCATCAATTGGGGAATAGCTGAACAAGTTGTTGCATGTGATTATGATGGAATACTACTGATTAGCAGGATCCTCTCAGAAAAACCTGGAAAGACTTGCATGGGTTGCTCCAAAGTGAAATGTACCATGTACAAAGTAACAGCAATATTATGAGATGATCAGCTGTGAATGACTTAGCTATTCTCAGCAATACAATGATCTAAGACAACTCTGAAGGACCCATGATGAAAAATGCTATCCATCCCCAGACAAAGAACTGATTGTGTCTGAATGCAGATTGAAGCATACTTTTTTTTAACTTTCTTGAGTTTTTTTTTGGTCTATGTTTTCTTTTACAACATGACTATTTTGGAAGTGTTTTGCATGACTACACATGTATAACCCATATCAAATCGCTTGCCTTCTCAATGAGATGGGTGGGGAGGGAGGAAGGGAGAGAATTTGGAACTTAAAGTTTTAAAAACAAATGTTAAAAATTGTTTTAACATGTAATTGGGAAAAAATAAAATACTAAATCAATTTTTTAAAAATGCTCCAAAAAAATGACATGCTCTTTCCCCCTAGTTTCTTAAGGAAAACTTCTGGACACATTTTGATTTTGCCTCAACTCAGCCAAGGGGAGAAGGAGACTTGTTTGCATCTTGGGTAGGGCTCACAGGATTATGGTAAGGGAAGCCACTGGCCCAACTTGGAATCCCAGAAAGACCAGGTGAAAGTAGGGCAGATGAAAAAATGGAACCATAAGCTCACAGAGATAGAGGTAACCGTGACCTCTAAGGTCCAAGGCACAGTAGCTACTCTATAAATGTTTGTTGTGGATCATAAAATCAGAGAACAGAACCTACCGTCCCATCTTTCATTTTCCACATAGAGGACCACAGCAGCAAAGGTGGCAGTGGTGGAGCCCTGGGGCACTGTGGGGTCATCCAGATAGCCTTTGGTGGCTTCCCCTTCTCCATCTGGGTTCCCCACATACTGGCCCAAGACCACATCAGTTGTTCTCACCTCTGAGATACACTTCAGGACCTTTACCTGGGAAAGTAGAGGGAAGGGGTGGTGAGCTGAGTTGGCCATAAACCAGACCCAAGGTGGGAGGCAAAGGCCAAAGCATGATGAGAGCTGGGACAAGGGACACAGAGGACACTAGAGCTCAAGGGGATGCTGGGTACTCTGGGCAAACCCAACTTTTCCCAGAAGCCTGGCTCTCCAGTCTGGAGGCCAGCTGAATCAATAGGCATGAGAGCCCTGGGTGGCATACAGGAGGCTACCTCACCCCACCCCCACCCCCACTCCATGACCCTGGCTCTGCAGGCCTCTGCTGTTAGACACATGATGCTTCCTTCCAGCTCAGTGTCACAAGAGGAAGTCAGCCTGCCACCTCACTAATTCAAATGCCACAGGGTACTTTAGCCATAGGATCATAGAGAGATAGAACCTTAGAGCTCATCTACGCCAAGCCTCTAATTTAGGAGTAAACTGAGGCCCAGGGAGGCGGGGTGATGGTGTTGTCCATGCCCCACTCTTCTCAGAGGCAGTAAACTGTCAGATTTTTTTCTCCCCAGCTGGAAAAGCCTGCTCCTCTTGGGACCAGCCCACGACCAGGAGGCACAAATTTCTTCCTATGGGTAATATTCCTGGCATCCATCCCAAGTGTGGCCCATCTCTCCAGCCTAACTCAGCCTAGGAGTTAGCACCCCCAGAACCCACTCAGGTGAGCCACCCTGGGCAGCTTTGAAGCAAGGGGAGACCTTTTCATCCCGGACGTCATCAGAGTTGGTGGAGGCAGGCTTTTCCATGGCCACTAGGCAAAGCATCTGCAAGAGGTGGTTCTGCATCACGTCTCTGTGGGGACAGAGAGGAGGTCAAGTGTGAATCTCAGACCCAAACCTCCAGGACTGGACATGTGGAGCAAGGAGAGAAAGAATTCAAGAAGGGCAAGCAGGGCAACTATACCACATAAGGTGAAGAAACTGGGCACATATAGCGTAGAGAAGGCTCAGAGGAAATGGGAGAGCTACCTTCAGGCTCTTTTGTGGAAGAGGGATGAGCCTCAGTCTGCTTGGCACCAGAAGATAGAAGCAGGAGAAGGTGCTAAGGCAACTTGCTGGAAGGAAAACCTTCCCACTGGTAAGAGCCACCCTCCAGGGGAATGGGCTGCTTCAGGAAGCAGGGGGCAGAGGGGGATGGGATGGGATATGAGAGGTCTTCAGGCCAAGGCCTGAAGGTGGCCACTTGATGAATACACTAGAGTAGGTATTCCTTTTTGAAGATGGGTTCAACTAGATGGCCACTGAAGTCCCTGTAATTCATTAAGGCCCACTTCCTGCCCACTTGCTCTCACGAATCTTGCCTGCTCCCCAACCCCCAAAGCTGGGCAGCTTCCCCATGGACTCAACTAAATTCCAAAGAGCTCCTGGACCACAGAAGCATGAATGGGACTGCAGAAGTTACTCCAACCACCCTCTGTCCTGTCCTGCTATTCAAGTGCAATTGTAACAAGTGTAGTTTAGAGCACTTTCCTCTCTGCTCTGTTCTTGGGAAAGGTGTTCCTAGTTGGGCACAGGAACCCTGTGTAGAATCTCGCATACCTTGAATCTCAGAAGCCTGTTGTTACCAACCTCCTCCCACCCCGTGCCTTCTTAAGGCCGGAAGATCCCAACCTCTTCTCCTGCAGGCCCTGTTGGCCTCTCCGCCATCTCTACGGATCTTCCCTCAGGATATCTCCCAAGATTCTTTCCTCCTGTCTCTGGGTTTAGACTTGTGATTTTCTTTTCTTTTTTTTTTTTAGGTAATTGGGGTTAAGTGACTTGCCCAGGGTCACACAGCTAGTAAGTGTCAAGTATTTGGTCTGAGGCTGGATTTGAACTCAGGTCCTCCTGACTTCAGGGCTGGTGCTTTATCCACTATGCCACCTAGCTGCTGCCAGACCTGTGATTTTCAACTGTACAGGGAACTCCTGATGTGCCAACTCCCTTTGCCAATGAACAAACAACTGCCTGTAACTTCCAGTCTATGGGTATTAGCTGCTTAGGGCATGTCCCACAGCCTGTATGTGTCGGAGGCAGAACTTAAATCCAGGAGTCCAAGGCTAGCCCTAATCTCTTGCTTTAAGAATCCCAAAGCTGATTGGAAGAGACCTTGAAGGTTAGCTGGTCTCCAACTTTCTGCTCTGCACAGGAAGGAATCTCTTTTTCAGTTCCTCAGACAGCCTCTGTTGGAACACTTGCTGGGATGGGGAGCACACTAGCTAGCCATTCTAGGATCTGTTGTTAGGCAGAAGTGACCAGACACTCCATTGGGGGTTGGGAGGGGCCTTAGGATCACAGATTTAGGGCAAGAAAGGTCCCCGAGAGTCACCCTCTCATTTTACAGAGGAGAGTGGGTGGTGGAAGGGGTAGAGGCACGATTTGAAATACGGGCCTTTCTGACTCTGGCACATCCCACTCCCTCCCCTTACATGAAGGAAAACTGGCATCTTTGTAACTTGCATTTGTGGCTCCTCTTTTGCCCCCTGGGACCAAGCAGAGCAAACTCAGATCCTCATGCAAAGGACAAAGAGCCCAGGGGAAGAAAGCTGGAGGAGGTGCCCTTCTCTCTGAGGGAGTTCCCAAAAGAAAAGCAGCAGCCGCCGCATCCTCCAGGGAGGCCCTGCCCTGCCCTTGGCGCTCACCGAATGATCCCAAACTCATCAAAATAACCCCCTCGGCCAAGAGTGCCAAAGGGCTCCTTGAAGGTGAGGATGACACAGGCAATGTTGTCTCGATTCCAGATTGGTCCAAAGATCCTGTTACCAAATCTGGGGAGAGAAGGAAGAAGAGAGTGAGCTGCAGGGACGAGTGCCAGGCCAGCCATGGCCTTGGCCTCATCCCTCAGCCATTACTGAACCTTGATGCTTGGGGCCTTTCACCAGAGGAGGGGAACCAGAGCCAGGCAGGGTTTCTCCTGGGCCTAGCCCTGCTGGGCTGGGATGTCTACTCACCTTAGCACCATGAGGTTCTGTACCATCTCCTTGCCCAGGTAGTGATCAATCCGGTAGATCTGGTCCTCATAGAAGAGCGAGGAAATGTGGTTTGACAGCTTGTCAGAGCTCTGAAGATCCTTTCCAAAAGGCTTCTCCACGATGACCCGGTTCCAGCCTCTGGTCAGGAAGAAAGAGAACCAGAGCCCAAGGCCACTCATCCCCTTGGAGGTGTGCACCCAGTAAACTCCCCACCCTTGAGCATCTTTCTGGCTTAGAAATGACCTCCTAAAGCAGGAGGGACTTTGGCTTGTGAAGTCCTGGACTCAAAAGCTGGAAGGGCCTTCAGTGGTCATCTCCCTCATGTCACAAAGGAGAAAACTGAGGCCCAGAGATGGGGAGAGATTTGTCCACGGTCCCATGGCCAGTGAATAATAGGGAGAACGGGGCCTGGATTCAAATCCAGGGCTCTTTCTCAGAAATGGACTACTTCCCCAAAAGTAGGGGGTGGGGTGAGAACCTCCTAGGCCAGGCTAGGTCTAGTAAGGACAAAGCTAGAAGTTTAGAGGGGCAGCTAGGTGGTGCTATAGTGGATACGGCACCAAGCCTGAAGTCAGAAGACTCATCATCCTGAGCTCAAATCCAGCCTCAGACACTCACTAGCTGTGTGACCCTGGGCAAGTCACTTAACCCTGTCTGCCTCAGTTTGCTCATCTGTAAAATGAGTTGGAGAAGGAGATACAAACCGCTCCAATACCTCTACCAAAAAAATCCCAAATGGGGTCATGACTGAAATGACGGAACAACAAGAACAAGAAGTTTAGGGGCTGTCTCTCTTCAGGGAAACTGGGGAGACTCATTTTTTTACCCGTGCTGAATTCCATTCCCCACCTCCTTGTTCTTCTTGCTTGCCTATCAGTGCCTAGTGTTCAACTCTGTCTGTGGGCCTTCCCACAGACCCTTCCATAGGGCAATGGGACATGACTCTTCTCCCGAAAGAGGCATTCTGCTGCCTTGAGGGGAGGTGGTGGCTGTGCCTGGGGAGACATGGGGGACTCTTACACCTGGCTCATGCAAATCTCTTTGATGTTCTTAGTGACAGCTTCATAGACAGTGGGTGGCAAGGCTAGGTAGAAGAGGCGGTTGGCCTGTGGCCCATGATGCAGGGAGTTCATGTGTGAATTGAGACGATGAAAGGAGGCTGGCTCATCATATTGGCCTGCCACATAGGAATTTCGAGAGAAGAACTCCTCCAGCTTCAGCTTCTCATCTGGAGTGGCCTGGGGAACACAAAGACAGGAAATCATGGCACTCACCTTTGTCAGAGAGATTCAGGGTATCAAGCTCAGCCCAGAAAGGGGAACCCAGGAGGGTGGGGATGGAACTGGGGGAGGAGCTCTTTCCACCATGCTCCATCATCTAACTATTGTAACGTCACACTCCTCCAGAAGGAATTCACCCAAGACCCAGATGGTGCTAAGAGTACAAGAAGGAAAAGGGCACGAAAGGACGGGGCAGTGAGCTGGAAGAGGAGAACTAATGGGGGGGGCCACAGATTCCAGGTTAGAAGATCACTGACCGGGCTGGAAGGGACTTAATGAGGCTATATTGAATCTAAGCTCCTCATTTTCCAGAGAAGGAAACTGAGGCCTCAGACGGGGAAGTGACTTGCCCGAGATGGACAGTGACTCCCAGGCCTAGGACCCCTACCTTAAAATAGGGCTCGCTTTGCTTTTGGATGTCATCCACAGTGAGGTTTGAGCGGGCATAGCCCACAATGAAGGTATCTTCGGGGAGGAGCCCATCACGGAACAGCCACCTAGAAGAAAGGGCTCAGGCTGGGGATTGGCAGGGCTAGGCTGGCCTAGCCCTCCCCCAACTGCCCAGTCTTACCCTCCTCTGCCTCAAGCTCAGAGAGTTGGCACAGAGAAAACTTACCAGATCGTAGGATAGATTTTCTTCTTGGCTAAGTCACCCTAAAGAAAAGAGGAGATGGGACTGGTCAGGGAGGGCTACAGCAAAATGGGAGTCCTTCCTTCTTTTCTAAGTGAGGCCTAGCAGCTGCCAACTCAGTTGTTTATTCCCCAGAAGGCCACTATGATCCAGTGTCCCAGTCTTGTTTTCTCTGTTAGCTGAGGCTCTTGGCCATGCCAGGACCTCATTCTGTCTATGCTACCCACTGGGTATCTGCCATGCCTTAAGGGGAAGTCCTGAGGAAATGGAGCTGGCAGAGACCTTGGAGAACCATGGACTAGCTGTCCTTTCATGTTACAGATGAGGAAGCCAAGGCCCAGACAAGTGAGGTGAAGAAACTTCTCACAGGTCATACAGGTGATGGCCGCCAGAATTTGAATTCAGGGCCTCTGGCCCCAGAGCTGACTACTCCAGAACACAGTGTCATAGAAAGATTTTTAGGGCAATCAACAAGTTTCTCTTGAGAATCTATCTGGTGTGCCAAGCACTGTGCTAGGGGCGGGGTTTGCCATGGGGAAGACCCCCAAAAGTCAGGAACTCAAGGGTCTAGTGCCAGATCTGGCAGCCCACAGTGGTATGGGCACTCACCTTCTCTCGTAAGAAAGGCAGCCCGAGCCTGATACCCAGTAGTGTGTGTGAATGGGGAGGGTAAAGGAGTCCCAGGGTCCTAAAATCTCAGAGATGGGAACTAGTGGCAGCTGGTGCCCACAAACCCCTCTATTAGGCTCTGTGATGGGGAGGGGACCAGGCTTTCATGGCAGATGGGTGGTAGTGGCCCAGGGGAACAACCTCTGGGTACTGGGAGGGCTGGCACGTGGGAACTGGCAGGAGGGATTGGACTTGTTCTGCACAGGCTCAGAGGACGCAGCTGGGGTGGGGGGCACAGTTGTTGACAGGTTGATTGAGCCCATGGAAGGAAAAGACTTCCTAGTTATCCAAGCTATTCAACAATGGCAGGGGTGGTGGGCTCCCTTTTGTTGAAGGGCTCCAAGCAGAGGCTAGAGAGCCACTTGGTGAAAATGCTTTAGAGGGAGGGGACTCCTGACCAGGTCTGGATGGCCTCAGCAGAACTTTGTGCTTCAGGGAAATTACAGCATGTTACAGCCTGGCCACCACGGTGCCTTCTGGTGACAGGCAGCACCGGGTAGAGGCTAGAGACTTATATTCAAGGCCTGCCCAAACATGTCTAGGCCGTGTGACCCTGGCCAAGTCACCACAGGCCAGAAGTTACAGAGCAAGGGCTGATGCGCACTGGGAGCAAGAGTTACTCTTCTTGGGGTAAGAACTGAGAGCTCTTTATATTGATGAAATTGCAGGATGGGTAGCCCCACCAAAAAAAGTCAGGTTAGAGTGAACATTGTCAAGGACAACCTTGAGCAACAGAAACCACTATGTGCAAACACAGGGAGCAGCACCCGGCTGTAGGGGGAGGAAACATCAGGAGCTCTAGGGCCCATTCTCCGCCAGTGTCCTCATTTTACAGAAGGGAGAGCTGAAAGCCCAGGAGAAGAAGTTGCATGGCAGGGCCTGGGGGACCAGAGTGGGAAGTGCTATGAATGCCTCAAACCTGGTCACTTCCTCTTCCCCCTCTTCCACTCAACTGGACCTCACAATGCAGTTCCTCATACCCTGGGAATGGTTCAGCCCACAGACTTCAGAGTATTTAGGGCAGTCTTCTCTTGTCCACAGTCTTCATTCTTCACGCTATGACATGGAAGTAGCAGGGCCAGGTTGGTCTTTGGGGTTGACCTTTTCAAACCCTGTGCTTAACTCCTTCCTCCCATTTATACCTGCTTGTGACCATACTCAGTAAGGGACTACCAAGATCTCTCCTTAGCACCCTTCTGAATCTCCCACTGAAAGCAAGTCTTAAGTGAAGGGTAAAAGGTGTAGGCTCTGAAAGGTAGATGATGATCTTCCCTTGGTTGGTAGCTGGATCCATAGGGATAGGCAGCCCTTCCCTGCACTGGCATCCTATATCCAGCCTCATGGGGACAGGCCTCCAAATCAGGTAGAGGAAATCTTCCCAGTCCCAGGAAGTATTCAATTACAATCAAATTCTGCCCGGACCCTGGAACTCCCTCCCTCTAGGAAATGCCCTAATACAGCTGTCTTCACAATATATTGGGTTTCTATTCCACCAGGCCCACTTCAAAGGGCTGCAGTTCCTCCTATTGGGGAGAGAGGCAGAAGGCTATGATGGCAGTAACCTAAGCCTCTGTTTTCCCCATCTGTCAAATGAGGGAATTGGATCAGGTGATCGCTCTCTAAAGGTCCCTTCCAGACGAGGATTGCGGGGACCAGTTCTCGTTCTTGCTCTCCCCCTCATGACCTCTCTTGACTTGTACTCTTTGCATGAGAAACTGTTGGGCAGGGGCGCTAGCCCATTGGGGTTCAGCAACCCAGGGGAAGATCAGCTTCAGACTTCTGTTCTCTCTAGGGTATCCTTGACATGACAGCCAACTCTGGGGGGATGAGGGGGTGGGGGCAAGGGGCAGACCTCTTCCAATGAGGTGACCTCAGCCAACCTTTGTGGGGCCCAGTAGGAGCTCTGCCTGGTGATCGGGTGGGTGGGGATTCTGCTGAATTGTTTGCACAGAGCAGACTTGGCTAAGGCTCAGCTGGCCTCTCTCCTGAGCAGGCCAGCTTTGAATGCTGGGGACTGGGGAGAGGGCGGGATTTGCTAAAAGAAAACAACAGAGGCACCTCCCTCAGCAAGCTCAGGGCCGAAGACTTAAGAGTGGAGAAAGGTGAGTCATGGCAAGTCGGGAGAGTTACCTCAGTGTCACCATGACAAAGCAGAAATGACTTCAGCAAAGGGGCTAGGGAGTGCAGGGGGTGAGGTGGTGGGCAAGAATTGTGAGCTCAGACTGAGAGCTAGAAGGATCTTTCAGGAGAAGCTGGTCTAAAACCTCCCATGGCCCAGAGAGGAAATAGCTTGTCCAAAGTCACATAGCCAAGAAAGGTCTTCTCCCTTCTGGTCTGGGCAGTCACATAGAAAGCTCACAGAGGGACCTTAGAGGGTGAGTCTAGCCCCTTCATTTTGCAGCTGAGACTCACCCTCTAAGGTCCCTCTGTGAGCTTTCTATGTGAGCTAAAAAAAAAAAAAATCTGTGAACCATTAATCTGTGAGCTAAAAAAAAAAAATCGGCCCTTTCTGACTCTTGACCAAGTCTGGGGCACTGGAGACCTAGAACCTCGGGCAAGGAAGAAGTACAGCAGACTGCCCAAGGGCCAGAGTAGACCATTTAGGATTGCCCAAGCAGGGTGAGGGGAAAGAGGAACAGAAGGGAGAGGTAACTTCCTGGATGGCAGGCCGCCCCACTACTGTCACCCATATTCTTGGGGGGCCCTTGGAAGAAGGATGAGGCCTATCTGTATCAAGCAGAGATGCAGCCAGATGAACTGGGGCTAGGTGGAGTTAGCCTGGGACAGCTCCTTGGGGAAGGAGACAGGCCAAAGGAGGGAGAGGGAAGGGAAGGGGGAAGGCTCAAGCCTGGCTCCTCTGGGGCTTGGTGACCACGCCCTCCCCATCCACACCCTGGGGCTGGCCCATCAGCAACCCAACAGACCTGCTCCACCAAGGACCAGAAAGCAAGATTTCCCCCTACCCCACTCTCCTCACCCCCATGCTCCAGAAATGACTGCCTGCCTGCCTGTTAGCAAAGCCCATGGCGCCATCAGTTTACTTTACTTACTAAGAGTATTGATATAGGTGAAAGAGCTGTACACTTGGGGCCAGGGAGCCTGGGTCTGAAGGAGTCTGTTTTCTGTCAGGGCCGGCCAATGACTCGTGGGCAAGTCACTTAATCTTCCTCTGTCTAACGGGGTAATACTACCCACACACGTGCCCACATTGTCCCTCCCTCAGAGAGCTGTGGAGATCAATGAGATGTGGGGCACTAGGGCAAATATACAGCATAAACATCATAGAAAGTAAAAAATAAACATCCGATCGAAGGCACTCTTCTTGGCAGTGTACCCCGTCCAAAAGAGAACTCATCTTTTCTCCTGTGCCCTCCCCTCTTCTGAGTTTCTCTCATTCTTTTCACAGCACCATCATCCTTCCATTCTTACCAAACGAGTCCTCTTTATGAAAGGTGCTTAGCACAGAGCCTGGCACACAGTAAGTGCTAATATAAATGCTTATTCCCCTTCTTTCCCCTCCCTTTGGTCTGCCAGGTTCACAATCTCAGGGTCATCCTTGCCTCCCTAACCCCCACACAGCCAAGCAGTTGCCAAATTTTGCCTTTGCTAACTCCTGAATGTCTCTTCCCTCCCACTGGTTCTCTTCACTTACATATTCCAACAAGCTGCTAGTTGGTCTCCCAGGCCTGCCTTCCTCTGCCTTTCTCTGCCCTTCCAGCTCATTCTTCACACTGCTGCCCAGTGATCCAGCCAGACTTCTGGCCCGGGCACTTCCCATCATGGTGACTCGCCTGTGCTACCTCACCTCTATCCATGGACCCCTTCTCTCTTCGCCAAGCAGCTAGAATGCCACCTTCGTGCAGAGAGCTTTTCTGGTTCTCCCCAAATGCTTGTGCCTTCCCTCCAGCCCCCATCCCCCCCATTTGACTACTATATATTTATCTCTTTACATTTAAGCTGTAGAGTATGCTTGTGTAAATTCTTGTCTCCTTCGTTACAATGGAAGTAGGGATTGTTTCATTCAATTCATCATTGTCTCAATGCCTCACATGCAACAGGCACTTCAATGCCAGTAGATTTGTAGGGTGGCCAAACTTCCTCTTGGGAAGCCTCTAAATGTGACCTCCAGGAGGTCAAGAACAGGTTTTCTGCCTTGGAGCTCCCAGGGTGGGCATGTGAGCCAGCAGATCTCCCCAGATGGGAGGTAGAGAAGTCAAAATCTGTAAACCACTGAAAAGCCTGGTGAGGAGGGAAGAGGAAGCCATCCTCTTCTACCCAGCCCCCACTCGGCTTGGGTTTTGGCCAGTGCTTTAAAAAGCTGCCCCACCCTGACAGGACCTTCTTAGTTGCAGAAATACAGAGAGCACCCCCACCTGCTGATTGTTCCAAAGTGTGGTTACCCCACTGCAGGACTGCAAGCTGGAGCAGGCCTTGGGGGACCTGGGGGATCACTTAGCCCAAAGAAGGTACTTTATGGAGGAAGAAACTAAAGGCCAGAGAGGGAAAGGGAGGGATTTGCCTCAGCCCCACAGCTAGTGAGAGTGAGAACTTTCCCTGGTCACTGGGTTGCCCGCCCCTTCTCCAGAGAGGTTTCAGGTATTTCTATGCTCATTTCCAATTAGGCTAAGGTGTATTCCTTTGGAGGTCCACTCCTGGGTCCTCACCTGGGGCCAGAAGGGTGGGCACCCCATTAAGGCTTCATCTTAGCTCCCTGCTAGACCTTGTTTCCTGACTGTTCACCTCTGGACCCAGGTCTTATTGCCCAAAGACCTGAATCCAGAGTTTCTGGGGGCCAAGAGTCTGGAGCAAGGTTTATTTTTGCAAGCACAAAACCTTATGACTTCCTTTGGAGGGAAATCTTTCTGTAATGACTCCAGCCCCCTGACTTCTTAGACTTTGTTCATTCATGCCTGACTCTATGTGACCCTGAAGTGGAGTGGGACCTGTACCTCTAAAAGGAAAAGACCATGTCTTTGCCCCTGAACTTTTCCACACATTTCTACCTAGACACTCAATAATCCTTTTAACTGTCCTTTCATTTGTGGCCCAGACCACTTAATTCCTTTCATTGTCTGCACCTGGCCCACCCCAGGCTTCTTGCCATTCCTTAATCCCATCCAGATCTTCTCACAGTCTTTTTCTGTATAAAAGTACCAATTTTACACCCCTTAAATAGTGAAGAATCTTAGAATCTCACTCGCTTCTATTGGTGTCACAATAAACTCACTACTTTGACTGGAAGGCTTGAGTGGTTGAATTCTTTTGAGGCAGACCCACCCTATATCCTTGTATTTGAGGGTTCCGATCACCCCAAACCACAACAACCCCATTTAGGATTTTCTTGGCAGAGATACTGGAGTAGTTTGCTATCTCCTTCTCCAGATCATTTTACAGATGAAGAAATTGAGGCAAACAGGGTCAAGTGACATGCCCAGGGTCACACAGCTAGTAAGTATCTGAGGCCGGATTTGAACTCAGGTCTTCCTGACTCCAGGCCTGGCATTCTATCCACTGAGTCACCTAGCTGCCCACACAGATTTCTCAGAGGATGCCAAATCTAACCTAACTTCTTAGTGACAATAATGGTGGCTGAATATCCATGACCTTCCTGGCCCAGAATGCAGACTGCTATCCCAGCTACTGAGTCCCATGGAGCTCTGTTTTACCAAAAGTATATCCACTTTCTGTTTCCTCCCTCTCTCTAGCAGCCTCTTTCCCCACTTGTAATTTTCTGGGTCTAATCACTGATGAAGACTGGGAAACCAGATCACCCACTTCCTAATCAAAATGTTTTTAAAACAAGATTTAGTAAGGATGTCACTGATCCTTGCCTCAGCTACTCTGCAGAACCAGGGACTGCTACCTCACTTTCTAGTTTTTGCTTAGGGATTGATAATCAGAGATGCTGGGTTTACAGAGACAAAAAGGAGGGACAAGGCATCCACACAGAAAGGTAAAGCCTCAGAATCCTGGGATTCCAAGCCTGAGGTTTATCAAGGTACTCTCAGTTCCTTCCTATCATCCATTTGAGTTCCATCCTTTCTATGTCTGTCTCTAGTCTCCTTTTTTCTCCCCTTCCATGGTGTCCCCTGGACCCCTCCTTCAATCATATTAGCCCTGGGCACACCTTCTCAATAATGACTTGGAGATATTTTGTGTTGAACTCTCTCTACTTCCTTTAAGCCTCAGCCCAAACACCATCTTCTACATGAGTCCTTTCTTGATCCGCACAACTGTTAGGGTCCCCCCTTCCTATAATGCCTTGTATTTATTCAGTACACACACACACACACACACACACACATACACACACACACAGAGAGTCTTCCCACACCTAAACTCCTTGGGAACAGGAACTGGTTCTCTTTTGCCCTTGTATTCCGTATATGTCTGGCATCCTGTAGGCTCTTAATAACTGCTTGGTTGACTGAAGAATTGAAGCAGTCTTGAATGAAAGCACTCCTGGGAGTGGAAAGTTGTGGGCATAGACTTTGAGAGATCTTTTGGGGCTGCTCAGAGAGCTTTCAGTGGATTCCTTTGGGACTACAGAGGTTCCCCTCTACACAATGTTATTTTACTTATATGAAATGGGCCAGTAGATAGCAAGATCCTGGGCTTACAAAGGTTGGGAAACAGTGACCTATCTGAAAGGAGGTGCTTGAAGCCAAGAAGGGTGTGGTGAAAGCCAGGGAGAGAGAAGGAAAGACTTTTCTTTGCTCTTGCCCTCTTCTGCTAACTCATTCCACCCTCTGTACCCTCCATAAGCTACAGATGGCCCTCAGGAAGCACCATTCCTCAGGCCACTCTGTCATTTAGAGTATAAAATCCCCAACACCCTGGCTGACTCCCAGCATTCTGCTGCATCATCGTGTGGGGAGCAGGTGAGCCATACGTGGCAAGCACCCAACAACTGGACTCAACTGCATTTAGTCTAGGCCCTTCCTCTGGACAGATGCAGAAATGGAAGCCATTGAGAAGTGATTTGCTCAAGTGTGCCTGATCAAGTGAAGAGCTCTCATATCTATAATGCTTGAAGGCTGGCAAAACACTCTCTACATCTGATCCAATGTCCCTGGGAGATTGGCAGAGCTGAAGAGACCCAGCATTTGTAAAGGAAGGATTAGGGTTGGGAAAAGCTGAGTTTGAATTCCACCTCAGGCCCTTACTAGCTTAGCTCTGGGATCAGAGTTGAGGCTCCCTTCTCAACCAGAAATGCCAGCATTGTTAGGAGGCCCACAGGAGCACTGCCAAAGGTAGAACAGCGCTTGGCAAACCTTGTAGCACTCTCCAAATGCCAACTGGCATTACCAAACTTGAAGAGCAAATGATCCTAGAGCAGGTCTGGGCTGCTAAGTACAAGTTTAGGTCCAAACCCTGAATTCTAAATGAAACTTAGCCAGGCTGCACTTGGTTAAGAGGGCACTGGGGGACAGGGGCCTCTAACCTCTGGAGCAGGGGTGAGGCTTTCCTTCCAAGTGTCAAATCAGGTAATTTAGAAGGCTATTCCTTCCAGCACCCCAGAAATAAACCAACAACCAACCAAAACTGAAATCGAAACCAACTGTGATTTGAAAACCATGGTATAGTCTTGCCTTTGATGACATTCCCTTGAAGGGCTTCAAACATCCCTGGGGCCACAGGGCTCAGTCAGAGGGAAATAGTGGAGTATTTGGTAACTCTAAGGGGCCCAAAGAAGCCCCTTATCAGTCTATTCAAACCAGGCCTGGAGATGACTGAGTAGGTTAGATAAAGAAATAAAAAAGATAAGAAAGATAACCAATCAGCAGATAAGCAAGAAAGACCCATGACTTTTCCTACCCTATTCGTTCTTAAGAAATTCTCACCAGCCTTAGGGAGTGGTCCTCCCTTCTTCCCCTTTATCAGCCTTCCTACAGGCTGCACTCTCCACCCTGATTTTGAGGGAGGAAAAAAAGAAAAGCTCTAGCCTGGAAAGCTGGAAACTTGACTACCACTAACTTGCTCCTGACACTGGGGGGTGAGGGGGGGTGGGAATCACTTTAGCTCTTTGGGTTTTATTTTCCTCGTCTATAAAATGAGGGTGATAATCACTGCCCTGATCCCAGGACAAGAAATCTGGAGAAACAAGGTAGCATAGAAATAACCCTGAGCAGAAGGCCTGAAGAACAGGAGGAACTGGGCCTTTGGAGTCACTGGGAGAATGTTACCTCACCTCTCTGGGCTTCTAAAAAGCTCAGACTAGGATCACAGAATTCGGAGTTGGATGTGGGTTAGTCCAAGCTCCTTCATATTACAGATGAGGAAACTAAAGCCCAGAGTGACTAAATGATCTGTCCAGATGACCTCTAAGGTTCCTTCCTGTTTTGAAAGGCCACATTTATGTTACATATGCCATTTTGTGTCCAGGCAAGAGGTGGGAGGGTGATGTGAGGATTCTAGACTCACCGAGGCTCCCATAATGATGAATATGTGTGTGTCTGACTGGTGGAAGGCATCACCCTGGTACAGCTCTTCCCGGAGAATCCCACACACCTCAGTCCGGCTCAAGGCTACTTGCTCCGACATGCTGTTTTCTAGAGGAATGAAAGAAGGAAGGCAGGATTGAGAGGGAGCTCTTACTCTGAGAGTAAGAGATAGTTGGAAGGTCATTGCCCCTCCCCCTAAGAGGGACAAGTGAACTCCCCTGACTGTCCAGGTTTCAAGTGGTGTCTACAGGAAACAATTACCAGTTTGGCGATTAGGAGAAGAGTTCCCTCAGATTTTTTCAAGGATAAAAAAACTTAGGTTTTTGATGCCTTGACAGCATCTGAGGAGTCTTTCCAGCAGTGATATTTTGTGCCGATTAAGCCCATTTTAAATATCCTAGGTTTGGTCAAGAAACTCAAGGGCCAAGCCTGGGGATTGAATTGGTCTCTACCTGTCTCTTCCTCTTTTCCAAAGTGGATGTTTGGAGAATGAATTCAAGCTGGAGCCTCCAATCTGGTGATTCTAGTTCAAGGTCTTCCTAAATTGGAGGGCAGGAGCACAGGTGTGGGTTAATATAGACTAGAAAATCGGGACCTAAGAAGGAACATTAATTAATTCACTGATCTTCTGCTTTGAAGATAATAGGTCCCAGTCTCAGAGTAGAATGCTAATTAGCTCCTTTATCCTCTGGCTTTGAAGATGATGGGTCCCAGTCCTGACTTAGTCACTGTCTGTGACCCTGAACAAGTTTATTTCTCTTGGAGTCTAAAGTTGCTTCCCTTCTAAGGTAGCTAGACTGGCTAATCTGTAAATTTCCATCCAGCTTGGATATTTCTTGCCATATGACCAGTATAACTAAGCACAAAATGTTATTTCTCCTTGGCCTTTTCTGATGCCTCTCCTATTTCTAAAACCGGCCTGTCCTAGTCCCCACAGTCACTACTTTGGAAAATTCTCTGGATGCAACATTATCTTGCATCTTTATCAGCATGGCACTGGCCAGTGGAAGAAGAATATTCATGTGTGTGATTGTTTTGTTTTTAAAAAGAGGTCTCAAGGGAGAACCCAGAGCAAAAAGACAACCTTCTCTGCAAGGGGTTATGCCACCACCAGGGTCCGAATACAGTTAGCTGCAGTTCAGCCTGCCCCCTGACACAGGTTCCATTGTTGCTACCTGTTGGGGCTTGCTTCAACTTTGTTAGGACCTTAGTGGAATCTGATCTACCTCAGCAGATGGCTCTGAAGAGTTAGAGTTTCTCCGTGGTAGGTAGGAGAAGCAGAAAGCAGGAAGAGAAGGCTAAGTATTTTCAAGAGTCAGGATGATCACATCACTAAGCTAAAGTCCCCAAGGGATATAGACGAAGCTTTCCTTTAGATCCAGACCCCCTGAGACAAATTACAGGGGACAGAAAAGACAGGCCAGGGTTGAGATGGGAAGGAGTATAGTACCTTATCTGAACAGGAAGGCAATCAATCAATGCAGAAACAGCCTCCTGAACAGAGTTCCGGAGGAAAGAGATGAGGGAGGATGCTTGGGGAAAGAAGATCAAAGAGCCTGGGGATAGTGAGGCCCTGACTAAGGGGAAGGTGGGAACTTCAGAGAGACTCAAGAAAAAGGATGGAGAGCTCAGGATTGGGGCCAGGATGCAGGGCGGCGGCGGGAGCGGCTGAGGATGGAGGAGGTTGGGGCTCAGCGGTGGCCCCTTGGGGGGGAGGGTGGCTTCCTCACCAGTGTTCGCCTCTGGGTCCTCGGTCTGCTGCTGATCCGGTAGAGGAAGGGCGACGACGGGGCCCTCGGCTGTACTCGGGTTAAAGCCTCGTCTGCCCGAGCACAGATCGGCTCCAGCCGCCCGACTCCCCATCTCCGCCCCCTGGCTCGGCCTGACCCGGCCCCGCCGGTCTGGGAGCCCGCCCGCTGGGCCCAGGCTCCGCCTCCGCCTTGACCCGGATTTGGCTCCGATCCAGACCTCGGGGACTGCACCTCAGCGTTTCAGCCCGGGGCCAGCCCGCCTCCTCAGCCAGGTCGCACGCTACCACCCCCACGTGGCCTTACCGGGCTCGCAGCTTCCGCCTGCAACGTGGCCACGCCTCCTGCGCCGTCGAAGGTCACGCCCCTCTCAGGCCACACTCTTAAGCCACACCTCCCGGTTCTTCTCTCCAAGTCAAGGTCCCCCCACCTCCAGCCGGAAGCTCCGCCCCTTCGGTTATTTATTTATTTTTTCCAAGAACTCCGCCCTCGTCCCACTCACTCCTCCTAGCCTCCTCTTGACTCCTCCTTTCCTGATGCCGGACTGGGGGGAGGGAGGAGCTGGTAAAGTGCACAGTCCACTCTAAGGTGACGGAAGAGATCATACCGAATATAGAAGGAGGAAGAAGTAGATGCTTTATAAGATAGCTTAGTGCGTGGGATTTCTTCTACGACATAATGGGCCCCTGGAACGGGAAGCGTAGGGTAAATTTCCTCCCCCCCGGTCAAAGGCATTATTGGTTCAGTCCTCGCTCCTGGGGATTGGAGACATCCAGAGAAAGGGCGGAGACAGACTGAGGGATTCCGAAGTTATCACTTTTGCGCTTCCGGGTTGCCGCATCCCGCGGCACAACCCGGAAGTGGGTGTTGCGTGGGGAGGAGTCCCACTTCGGAGCCGTCGGCTAGGACTTGAGCTGGCGATTGCTGGTGGGGCCTCCGTCGCTGCCTTCGGTGTTGTCTCCGCCGCTGCGTCCGTGGCGTGGACTCAGGCTCGGCCCGGCCGGGCCTGGAGCCCGGAGAGGCCGCGGGCTCCCCGGGCCCTGGTGGGGCCGAAGTTGAAGCCTGAGGGCCCAAGTCTCAGGCCTCGGGGTGAGTCCGGACCCTTGGCCCCGCCCCTGGGTCTCCGGCGGACCCGCCCCGCCCCTTCCCTCTCCGCCCCGCCCCTCTTCTCCCTCTGGCCTCTTCCGCGGCTGCCTTGGTGGCCTGGCTCACCCTTCCAGGCGCCTTCGCCTTCATGCTGTTCGGGCGTGTTCAGCCTCACTCACTACCTCTGAACCTCGGCTCCTGTCCGAGGTTTTGCGAATGCCCCCGGCATGACTGATTCACTCCCCTTTGCCCCAGTGCCTCTCCTTTTTTCTACCCCGCCCGGAGGTTGTCATTATTCGTAATTGTGGGGGAAGGAGAATGTGGAGGAAAAGCAAAAGCGTGAGTTTCTTTTTGCCACCATCTTTTTTAGATTTCTGAGGGGATTCCCATTTAACAGTAGAGTGGATAGAGTTCTGGGATTAGAGTTAGAAGTACCCTAAGGACAAATCCTTCTCCTACACTTCTTAGTTGTGTGAGTCCAGGCAGGTTCATGAACCTCTTCTATTTTACCTTTCTCATCTGTAAAATGGGTATGACAATAACGGGCCCTACCTCCCAAGTTTGTTTTGAAGCTCAGATGCCACAATATGTGTAAAGCTTTATGTAAATGTTAGCTCTTATTATTACTGACCGTAATGAGGGGATGGAGCTGGGGCACCCTTCTCTGGAGTCATCAAAGTGGCACTGGACCTGGAGAGTCTGGAAAACCTGAGTTCAAATTCCTCCCTAGACGCTTGTTAGTATGTGACTCACGGCAGGTCATTTAACTTCCGTTTGCCTCGTCTGTAAAATGAGGTGAAGATCAAAGGAGATAATAATTGTAAAGCACTTAGTACAGTGACCTGAATATAGTAAGCACAATAAAAATGTTAGCTGCTATTAATTATTACCCTTTCCACTTCATCTTTCCACACTAATACAGGTTTAGAGCTGGAAAGGACCTTCCCCGCTAGACTACAAGGTCCTTGAGGGCAGAGACTGTCTTTTGCTTCTCTTTGTATCATGGTGCCTGGCTCATTGTTGTTCACTTATGTCCTATTCTTCTTCATGGGGTTTTCTTGGCAAGGATACTGGAATGGTTTGCCATTTCTTTCTCCAGTGGATTAAGACAAACAGAAGTTAAGTGACTTGCCTCCCTTTCCTCATCTGTAAAATGAGCTGGAGAAGGAAATGGCAAACCACCCTAGTATCTTTGCCAAGAAAACCCCAAATTGGGTTATGGAGAGTTGGACATGACTGAAAACTTACTGAACAAAAGGTTTCTTGACTCTAGACCCAGCACTCTATGCACTGAGCCACCTCGCTGCTTCCACATATTATGTACTTGGCGTATAGTAGGTGATTAATAAATGTTTATTGATTAATTGATTGAAAATGACTGGCATGGCAGCTAGGTGGCACAGTGGATAGAGTACTGGCCCTGAAATCAGGAGGACCTGAGTTCAAATCTGGCCTCAGACCAAACACTTGACACTTACTAGCTCTGTGACCCTGGGCAAGTCACTTAACCCCAATTGCCTAAAAAAAAAAAAAGAAAGAAAGAAAAGAAAATGACTGGCAGTATAATTTAAGTATGCTTTGGACTCAATCTGCATAAGTTTGCCCACAGAATTTGACAGTTGGAAGGGGCCTCAGGAGCCATCTAGTTTGGCCCCTATCCAGTAGAAATCCTCAATCTAATATAGTTGAGAAGTGGTCATCCACCCTCAGTTTGAAGACCTCCAGTGAGGGGAAACCCACCACTTCGGACACTTAGCACGGGGCCAGGCACATAGGCATTTAATAAATACTTGTTGACTTCCTGGGGCAGCTCTAAGTGATAGGAAATTTTTCCTGACACCGAGCCTGCTTCTGCCCTGTAGGGCCAAATAAAGCTCAGTAGAATCTCTCTTCTTGAGCTCAGCTATCTTCCCTGCCTCTCTGCTCCTCAGGCTTTTTTCCTTCAGGCTAAGCATTCCTAATTCTTTCAGACTATCCTTATATGATGGGGAGACCTAGGCCTTTCATCATCCTCATTGCCTTCCATCTTAATAATGTTCATTTTAAATAGGTGCCCCCAATGCAATTCTCCTTGGAGTGATTTGTACATTTCATGCACATGCCATCTTTTATCTAAGTCATTGATAATAATAATCATGGCTAATATTTTTTTTTTAATTTTTTTAAAATTTTTGGGCAATTGGGGTTAAGTGACTTGCCCAGGGTCACACAGCTAGTAAGTGTCAAGTGTTTGGTCTGAGGCCGGATTTGAACCCGGGTCTACTGAGCCACCTAATTGCCCCAATAGCTAACATTTTTAAAGTTTGCAAAGCACTTTACACATATTATCTGATTTGATCTTCACACAGTCCTTGGAGGCAGGTGCTGTTATTAACTCCATTTTACAGGTGAGGAAACTGAGAAGTTGGAAATCCAGCGTAAGTGACATGCCTGAGATCACACAGCTAAGGAATCATCATGGAATTCCAACTTGGGTCTTCCCTGACTCCAAATCCAATGCTTTATACCCTGTGCCACCTAGGGGCTTAACATTTAGTTCAACAACACAGGCCAAACACAGTTCTGGCCCACTCTACTGCTTGATAGCCTGCCAAGTTGGCATCAACTTCACTAGACTGAGTCTCCTCATTGAGCCAGTTCCAAATCTTTCCTCTTTTATTGTCATCTAATTCATGTAGCTCCATCTTTTCCACAAGAATAGCTGGAGATGGTTTTAGTATACTCCTGATCAAGCAGTCTCATAACTGTCAAAAAAGGCCTTGATGTTGGCTTTTTGTCCCCCCGCCCATGCCATGTGTAGATGTTCACTAAGCCTCTCTTTAGAGACCTGTGGGAGAATTTCCACAGGAATGGGAGTCAAGTTCACTGGCATGTTATTTGCATGTTTTGTTCTCTTACCTTTTTGGAAGATTGGGACATTTGCCTTTCTTCAGTTATGCAATGCTTCTTCCATTTTCTATGCTCTTTCAGACTTCATGGATAGCATTTTAGCAACCACATCTTTCTGTTCTTATGATTGATGTGGACCAGGTGATGACTTCATTGGGGATAACTATGCTCCTTTTCACTCCCTGGTAGCTGGTTTTGTCACTGTCATTTCCAGAGAAAACCAGAACAAACTAAGAATTTGGCAGCTCTGCCTTCTCCTCTTTTCAGAGGCAGGGTGGGGCAGCGGCAGCAGCTCAAAGGAGAAAACCACACATTCACATTATCTATGTTTGATTGTATTTTTATTTATTTTGTTAAACATGTCCCAATGACATGTAAATCTGTTTTCCTGCTGGGAGTGTTGCAGGACCTACTGGGTTTGATGCCCCTGGTCTGTAATGTCCCATTCACCTGAAGCAGCAGTCTTATCTTCCTCTTTCCCCAGTAGAGCTAAAAAGGCCTTTTTGTCACCCCTTGCTTACCTCACCAACCTCATTATGAGTTCTAGCACTCTAGGTACTTTTTAGAGGATTCTGCCACACATATTCATTTTGTTACTTCCCCCTGCTTCTATCTTTCGTACATATCTTTGGAAAAAAAATCTAACTTAGTTGATGAGTTCATTCACATTGGCCTCTTCAGACAACTCTCAATTTTTCCTCCTTATTGGAATTGTTTCCCTATATGTCTAGAATTTCCCATTCTGCTTCCATGGAGTTCCCCTGTTGAAATTTAATTTATGGGATCCTACATCTTCTTTCTCTGAATCCTTTCCTAAGGGTTCCTTTCCTAAAATCTAAGTGCATGCTAGCCTGTGTTGGACTTTACTTCTCTAGCACAGACTTTAGGAGAGACTGTCTACTTATGCCCAAGGTTTCTGTCATTTCCACCCCAACAACCAGTTGTAGCTATTACTATTAAGTTCCTACTGTGTGCCAGACACAGTACTAAGTGCTAGGGTTACAAAAAGAGGCAAAAGATAATCCCTGCCCTCTAGGAGCTCACAGTCTAATGGGGAGACAACATAAAAACAGATATGTACAATCAAGTTATA